CATTCTATGACACATACATTCCTGGTAATACCATGTTTCCTAAAACTCTGTATATTCTTTGGCTTCTGAGAAAGCCAGAAATCCTGGCTCTGGTTAAACTTTGCCAAGCCCTCCCTCTCAGAGCTTTGTGGGATCCTCTCATTCATGCCCTTTTTCTAAGATGCCATCACCAATCTGGCCAGGTCTATCATTAAAAAACAAACAAACAAAAGAAAAACTTGAAAATTCAACCACCTCTTACCTCCTCCAATGCTTCCACCCTGACATGATTCTCCATCCTCTTTCATCTGGATCACTGGATCTCATTGTTTCTTCTCTTCCTACTATAGTTCCCTAGATGATTCACTAAGACCTGCCGCTCCTCAGTTCAGAATCCTTCCATGTCTAAAGCCTTTAAAATGATTCACAAAGCCGTATACCATTTGTCTTCCATGTCCTCTTTGGCTCCCTACTAGCCCTGCTCCAGTTGGCCTGGCTGCTTATTCTTCAAACATTCCAACATGTATCCACATCAAGGTCTTTCTACTTGTTCTTCCTTCTGACTGGAATGCTCTTTCCCTCCTGGTTTGCTCATTTAGTTCCCTCAAAGTCATTGAATGTCACCTTCTTGGTGAGGTCTACCCCAACTGATATGTTTAAAACAGCACCCTCATAGTAATACTGTCCAAGCCTCTTTCCTGTTCTTTCTCCATAGCAATTGTTGATATTTGATATACTGTTTATTTATATATGTTTTGTTCATTGCCTTCCAGTCCTCATGATGGGAAACAATTAAAAGATGACAATAAAATAAATAAACTACAGTAAAATATGTGCCAGAAGATAGTACTGTTACAGTTAGGATAGACAGTAATGCTTCAGATAAGATAAAAGAACAATTAAAGTATTTAAAGTGAGAGGGTTAGGGAGTGGATTGCTATTTTATAGTTCAAGTGTCCAGTGAAGGTCTCAGTAATAAAGTAACATATGAGCATATACCTGAAGGACATGAGGCATAAATCATGTCTGTACTCAGAAGACAAATTTTAGGCAGCAGGAACAGCACATGCAATGACCCTGAGGTGGGGTTTTAGACATGTCAAACTCGGAATGCCCTAAACAGACGTATTACATTTCCGTAGTCTGGGTCCTATATTCCTCCTTTCAGTGAATGGCAACCAAATCCAGTGCCTTTCACCAACTGGAAACTGAAAGGAATTCATTGGATGGAATGTGTGCTTTCTACTAGAAGTTCACCACAATGGGGTGTGGCACAGAACACAAAGCCTGGTACAGAGGAGGTGCTCAAAGTGGCAATATCAGACTTTACTGGTGGATGCTGACAACTATGTGTCCTTGACATTAGATCTGAAAATTATTTGTTTGGCTATGCTCAACAAACACATACTCAGCACCACATTTGAGGAAAAGTCTCATTTGGATGCTGAGTATACAAAGAGGCCTTCTGCCTAAGGGTCACAGATTCACATATGTTTATATATAAAAAAATGCTTCCAAAGTCATGTTATGAGTTCTATAAATATGAAGATTTGTATATCAGAAAAAGTTCAATAACAAAAGCAGCAGCAACTAAAAACACTATTGAGAGTTTTTATGTATCAGGGTCTGTGCTAAGCACTAATGTGAAATTCATTTAATTACTAACACAACTCTGTGACATGGATACTGTTATCATTCCCATTTTTTCAGAAGAGAAAACTGAGACTCAGAGAGGAAATAACCTGCCTGGGTCATATGGTTCCAAATTGGTAAATTCAGCATCACAACCCAGGCAATCTGGTGGCTAGCTGAGTCTCAGTGTAGCCAGATAGTTTGGTTTTTTAAACACTTGAGCACCAGGTCAATCTTTCTAGCCTAATTTCCTCGTCCTCTCCTCCTATACAAATGTTCAATACCAAGTTTTCAGATCCCTAGCTTTTGCCCAACCCACCATACCCTCTCACACTATTTGACTTTAACTTGGGCACAAATCCTTCCCCTACTTTTATGATTTGACACTGCAAGAATTTTTTTCTGATGCCCTTCTGTACCCAGGAGCGAAGGAATCTGTCTATCTGTAATGCTCCATGTCACTTTGCTAGACCTCTACTCTAGCTTCCTGCTTTATATACACCCTCATTCTAATTCCTATTACCAGGACTGACACAGAGGAGGTACCCAAACAACATTTGGTGAAGGAAGAAATAATCATTGTATTCTTGTGGCCAGGTCTGTCGACAAGGGTTAATGGTGTTCCTTTAGCAAAGTCTGTACATTTGTTCTTATGGGTTTTTCTCTGCAGGTATAAGATACAGGGCAACAGGAGAATTATTTTTATTTTGTAGGTGAAGAAATTTAAAACAAGTAAGCATTTCTGCTCCCCACCACCAGCACCTGTAGTGACTAAGTAAGTTGATTGTCAGTTGGCATGTGGAAGGGGGGCCTGGAGGACATCCTCTTACATAAGGCATTTTGAAGTACAATGTTAAACCCACACTTGGTCTTTCCACACGTTTGTCCTTAGGGAGAAGTGGGATATACATAAAGGAGCTGTGCAACTCCCTACTACACTCTTTTCCTCAAAGTGCACACATATAATCTCTGCCGGAGACATGAGATATCAGGACCAAGGCATGTTCTCAGCTGGGAGAACTCTTTAGCAAATCAAAACTACTTTTCATTTTCCTGAAGTCCTATTTCTTGTTGGCCCAGATCAATGTCCAATGTCTGTCATTATCAAAACTGGCTGTGACAGAATGTTTGTTAGGTAGGCAGAGAACATGGAGGATTGGCAGTGATGACAGGAGCAGTGCAACAATGCCCCCTGGCCGCTTGACAACTTTGCATATCTCCTCTCTCCTGGTTCACAGCTGAGACTGCCCTGGCCCTTTCCCTGGGCTCTAGATTCAGAAATTGCTGTAAAAGAGTAATCTTTGGCTTACTTCAAAGAATCAAGTTTCTAGGTGAAATGTGAAAAAATAGTAGACAAACAGGCACAAGGCAGCAGAAGAGCCCATGAAAGGAGTGCTGGGGGTGGAGGGAAGATATTTCCAAATCAGGCTCAATCAATGAGAGTCAGGACTTTGCAAAGCAGGAGAGCACAGCTCCAGGGAAACATTATCATCTAATCTATACAGACTGGGAAACTGAAGCTCAGGAGGATAAGGTACTTCACTTACCCAATAAATTTGCTCAATAAGCCAGTGAAAGCTCCCTCCTCCTTGTCATTTCTTTAGATCTGGGTCTAGAAAAATATATGGGATGTTCAAATTGCTGATTTTTGTTGGTGTTGGTGCTGGACATGTGTAGAATGTTATGGAAGATCTGAAAGATCTTGAAATCTGTGAAATCTGAAAGAACTGAGTTAACTGTCAGAGTTGGAAAAGATCAAGGAGATTGGCCAGTCTTGTAGAGATGTGGTGACTGAATGGCCTAGAGGGCAAACGTGACTGTCCGAGTTCATACAGCAAGTCTGAAGCAGAGCAAAAATCAGACCTCAGTCACAGTAGACATGTTAGTTTCTGTATTCCACCCTTGCAGAGGAAGCAGTCCTCTGGTTAGCAGGTTAGCAACCTGAACTCTTCAAGGCAGATAAGACCCAATAGAGTGGAAGAGAACACTCTTCCTGGAGGGGGAGGAGTGGAAGGAAAGAAGGTAGGCAAGTTCTTGTATCCCTCCCACCTTCTTCAACTTTAACCCTCTCCTCTCTTCTTTTTTTTTTTTTTTTCTTTTCAGACACAGAGTTTAGGTCTGAGCCTTTTTGTTATTACTGAACTCAGGGTAAACTAAATGTTGTTGCTGCTGTAATTGCCTCAGCTCACCTCCCCCCTGGCAACAAGCAATACCACTTAATGGCCTCAGGCTGGTTTCAGACACTAGCTCTGGCCCCCTGAAACATTCCAGACAGAGCAGGAACTGCCTCACTGTGTCTTTAGCCTTGACCTGGGTCCAGACAAGGTTTTTCTCTCAGTATTTAGGCTTTTCTGGGACAGGAAACTGAGCAAAGCTTGGCTCACCGTGAAAAAGCTGAAGGGGTCTCTAGATATCTTAGATATACCCTAACATACCATTAAAAGTGGGGAATTGGGATAAGCATCAAATTATCTGAAGAGCTATCTTCACAGAAAAGTGAAAGCAAACCTGAACTGGAAACCCAGGACTCTAAATTCCAAGTCTGTTCCTGTCATCCATCTGGATGACCTTGGGAAGCTCATTTCCTTCTCTGGGCAGCAGGAGGCCCTTCTGCAACTGGTGGAAGCTGGTCTCAATTAACTCTAAGGGCCCTAGTGTGCCCCAGAGAGCGCCGGGGCAAGGGTGACTCTGCAATTGTCTTTCCTTGCAGGTGAGCCCCTTCTTCAGGCAGCCCGAGGGCGCGCGCAGTGGGGCCCAGTTTCTGTGCGTAAGGTTGGGCCCAGGGGAGGTGCCTAAAGGTTCTGGAGTTATGCAGGCTCTCCGATCTTTTCATTACGCCTCTTTGCAACCGCCTCTTGCTGTGGAATAAATTGCCGGGTAGCATCCAGGGCGCGCAGCACGACTGCAAGTCGGCCACGAAAATGGAAGCGTTTTAAAACCGAAACCGAGCTGGAGCTCCAGGGTTCCAGCGAGCCCCAACCGGGAAGGACCGACTGCGCGAGCTCGCGGTGTTTCCTCGCAGAGACCCGCCCGTCGTAGGGGAAAAGGGCGGGAGCCCGCAGTCACAACGGGGTTCTGCACTCTCTCCGCCCCTAGCCAATAGCACGCCCACGCCTATTTGCATTTAAAGAGAAATGCACCTAGGAAAACAGTGGGTGGGCCGGGGCACGCCTTGCCAACGTGAAGATTGGGCCACATTCCTGCCAATCAGGGTGCGGACTCCCCAGCCTGTGGCTGTGGAGTCGGTGGGGAGAAGGTGTGGGGGTGCTGTCCAGAACCTGGGGAAGGAGAGTCTGTGCAGGAGGTGCCTGGAGTCTCGGTGGTGGTGGCTGGAGCTGCGGCAGAGGGCCCTCAGCTACTGCAGCCAGGGCTTTAGCACCGGCCAAGGCGGCGCCGCAGACAATAACCGGACTGGAAACCTAACCCGGCCGGGTAAGCCTTGAGCGCATTCAGGAACCTCTGTCTGCCCGCGGTCTAATGCAGTCCCATGCGTTTGGCTTTGACTGCTTGGCGAAGGGCAGCAATGGTTGGGCCGGTCGGCGTCGTCGGGCTGCTCTCTGCCCTCCTTTGGAACCTGCTTAGCAGAATGTCGGATGAAGGGGCAGAGCAACCGCGAGTACCCTGGGCTTCGGTGACTGCTGCTGGGGGGAGGGGGAGAGGGCAGGCTGGCGGGCTAGCCAGGGCCTTGCCTCTGGCTTCTCAGGGTAGGCGGGGATAGGGCCTGCACGTGCTGCCTTGTGGTACTGGAAGGGGAGCATCCAGCCAGCACCCCCAGGGTGCATTTATAGGTCGGGAACTCCGCAGCTTTGTTGTAGTACATCTGTTGGAACAGCTATGTTCAGCTGCTTACAGCTCACCGCAGCAGGCCCTAAGTATCTCCTGCCTCTCCCCTCTGTGGATGAAGCCAGTGTGCTGGCTTTGGCGTGGATTGAGATATCCACATTATTTGTCTCCTTCCTGGGGGAGATCAGTTTTTTTTTTTCTTAAGAAGCTTGGCCTTGTGCCACCCACCAGCCGTGTCCCCAGTTCCTGGGCCCTTATAGGTGCATCTGGTGCCCGCCCCCAGAGCAGGAGGGATGCCAACCCAGCATTGGTGGACCTAGGGTTAGAGCAGCAAGGCTGCTTTGTTTCTCCCCTTGCCTTGCGCCCTCTTCCTTCAGAGGGCACTGGTAGCATTTTTTCTTTCCAGCTTCTAACTTAAAAATAGTGATAAGTATGGTGGGAGGGGGCTGGGGTAGGGGTGGGTTGTGCCAGAGGCCAAGGAGCAGTTACTGTAGTAGGTAACACACTGTCTGTCTGGGGTGTGTGTGTGGGTGTGAGTGTGTATGAGAGAGAGAGACAGAGACGGAGACAGAGAGGCAGCCAAACCTTCCAAGTTTTCAATTACTTAAAATACTCAACCTGCTGGGGCTGCTGTTATTGTCTGCTGCAGACACTGACCTGCTGAGGGCCAGACTGCCAAGCTTTGCCTAGGCTCTCCCTCCTCACAGCTGTGAGGAGCTGTGTCTGACAGGAGCACCTTAGTTCAGGAGTCTAGGCATTCAGGCGGCAGCTGGATTGACCAAGCAGAGCTGACCCCAGTTTGGCCCTGGTTTGGCATTGTTCTTCCTAGCATTGGCCCACAAGGGTCAACACAAGCTTTGCCCCACACACAAACACCTCCCTCTTGGAGGTGCTTTTTGTTGCCTGCTTGCAACAGCCACTTGGATATGTACTGGGTAGATGGCACTGTGCTGCTGGATTCCTGCTCCACCTCAGGGGATTCAAGCAGAACCCCCAAATGGAGTGCTGCTCCCTTCTTTCTGCCCCCCACCCCTCAGTCACAGCACCAGTGTGCCTTTGGCCATGAACTCTAGGCCTTGTTGAGGAACAAGAGAGGAAACTGACTGAGGGATTTGTCAGGCTCTTGTTGGACCTTTGACCAACCTCTAAGGGTGGAAAGCACAGCAGGTGAGGTTACACCTTTGAAAGGTGATCTCATTTGGGGGGAGGTTAGCTGGGGGCCTTTGCAACCCTGGGAGGACTGCAAATATACTACAATTACTTCCTCCTACTTTGACCAGCCCTACCCTACAACAAACCCTTTCTTTTCAACCCAGAATCTCCTTCTCAGGACTGTATCTGTCCTCTACCCTGCCTCACCTACAACTACCAGCCCCCTTAACATATCTGTCTTCCTTCTATAATTCTCCTCCAGACATTAAAACCTACTCACCCCACATTCCACATCTCCCTCAGGCCCCACTCTCTGCCCAGCTTCTCCTTGGTGCCTTTCCTGCCTGTCTTTTGCAACTTAAAATGAGCTCTGGGCTTCTCCCAGCTGCCTGCATCCTTAGGCATTTTCTGATTCTACTGTCTCCCTAATATCATGGATGTCTGGGTTCTCTTGGAACCCCTCAGAGAGATATCTGAAACCTGAACATCAGCCACAACCTCCTAGCAGTTAATGAATGCTGTGAAAGGACTTGCAGTTTTTGTAGAGATTTAAAAAATAAAAAAAAAAAAAAAACAAACCTTTACTGTCCAACTTGTCCTGAACCATATGAAAATGATTAAGGAAATGATGAGGTTCAGATATTTGTTGAGTATGCCTAATGAGGATAGAGAAGGGAGATGGAAATGGGTTGCAACTACAAAAAAATTGTGAAATCTCTCATCAACAAGCTCAGGACCCCAGACTACAGATACCTTTGATTGCTGTTTTATGAGAGCCTAGAGGCAGACTGCCATGGAGAGAGATGAGCAATCTGTACTTGTGGTGAGAACATCCAGGGAAGCTTCCTGAAAGTTGAGGGGTTTGTCTAGCAAAGGTAGTGTTATATGCAAAATTAGGAATTGGGGAGCAGCTGGCATGCAGACTAGACTGTGTCTTTTCTGGTTGAGACTGTATGGATGTAAGGTAGAAAGGAGGTGTGTGCCCAGTAGTAAGGGTTCCCAAATGCCAGACTGTGGAATGGGGATCTGATAATGGGGGCAGGGGCCATACCATGGAATGGGAGGCGGAAGGAATTTAGATATTTTTATGTGTAAATATGCCACAACAGAAAATAGTTTTCAAAAGGGTTTTAGACTGGGTTCTTGGAAAGGGATTGGAAAGCATGCGATAAGTCAGGCAGTTCAGAGGTCACCTTTGCATCTGGAAGTAGTATTGAAGTAGTAGTAGTATCACACAATCTCCAGTGCCCTCCCTTCAACATTCCTCACTCATTTCTCAAGCATGAAGGGGAGTTGGGTTAGCTTTGAGTCCTCACCTGGGGATCACCTCCATTTTCCTGTTTCTTTTGCTTCTTGGTCTGATCTGCAGCATGTCGCAGGCTGAACATTTCAGAAGACTGGGAAGTAGTTGGGAAAAGTTGTCAGTACAATGATTCTTAGTATAGTGGTGGTTCTAAAAATTCATCAACATCTTTTACATTAATGTTTTCTGAAAGTGTTTGAATGAATGTGTGTATTGGGGGGAGAGGGGTTTAGGAGAGAAACTGGCCTTTTCTGCTGACTCGGGGGAATATGGGAATGAGAGAAAGAGTACCAATCCTGGAAGGTCACTTGCTTGTAAAGCCAAAGAGAGAGAAAGGGTTTCTAGTTCCCTCACTTACATAGGCTACTTGAATCTAGAAGTCAGCCCAATGTTGTTCTATCAATTGCCCGTCCTCAATTCCTGTCTACCTGGATGAAAGTGATAAAGGTTAGGCCTCCAGAGGAAGTATTTCATAGTTTTCCTTGTCACTCACTCAAAAGTTACCCATCTCACTGCCAGGAACTCTTTCTGTCAGCTAATGTGACTCATGCTATAGTTAAACCTCCTGTGCCTTGTGTGTGTGCACACGCGTGCACGTGTGAGTGTGTGTTGAGGTTGGGGTGAGAACAGCTCACTGCTGTTGCTCTCTGCTTAACAATACATTGGATATTTCATGGGCATTAAACCACCTCTCCCATCCCCAGCTTCTGTTCTCTGAATTAAATAATCATAGTTTTTTAAGCTCCTTTCCTTGGTTTTATTTTTCAAACCTGGGTGGGCATGTATTATTACTTGAAGGAGGCCAGTGAGGGAGCATTGTTTCCCACACCTTGCCTTCTGGGATTGGGGGATAATGTGGACAATGGAGAAAAAATCTCTAGGAGCTTAGTAGAGTCAGAGATAGGTATGTTGGTACTACAGGAGCTTTTTCAATCCTTTGGTTTGCATTTCTTACTGTAGAGCTTTCATTGATTTAATCTTGTAACACATTTGTTTGTTTCTTTACTTTCCCCCTGCTAGCTTCCAAGTAGAAACTAACCCTCCCAGTCCAGGCATCAATACTCATCTTTCCCTTCCCATATACTCAGGCCTCCCTGCCAAGGACCGCAGCACTTCTTAGGGGAGAGAGGGCTGAACCAAGTCACTTACGTTACCCTTTTCTCTGGACATATAGGATATGTTCACAGGCTAGCTGTAATGCATTTTTAAAGAGTAAAATTTTGGGCTGGGTTGTGGATTGGCAAGGGGCATGGGTGATCATGCAGGGTTGCGGTCCATCTCTGTCCTGCAATGTAGACTGGGCGCAACCAGCTTATCACTCAGGCCCCCTAGGCAAGCCTAGGATTCCCCAAGTCACATGACTCCACCATGACTCCTGACTCAGCAACTTCTAGAAAACTGGGCACCTGACTATCCTTCCCCCCAGTACCTCATGGAGCCTGGAGCAAGTGGACCCCCTTGTCCAATGTACCATTTCTGGGTGAGGAAACCGAGGCCCAGAAAAGGGAAGCTATTTGCTCAAGATTATACAAGAGCACAAAACTCCTGGCCCCCATTTCAAATTTCCCCCAAGCATGCACTCTTTGATCCCATCACAAGCCTCAGTTTGCTGTCTGGCTTCTCACACAGAGCATGTGGAGACATGAAAAAGTCAAGGGTCTCTATGTTCTCTTAGCCCAGCTGTTCCTCTGCAGGCTTTCTTTGGCTTTCTTGTCATAGCTGTTCCTGTTTTTCATCTGAACATCTGAAGGGTAGGGTGGGGGAGTGGAAGAGTGGGGTAGTGTCTGTCTCTGATTTCATCCTTGCTACCTTATTACTGAAAGAATAGTAGTGCAGGCATGGAACCCACCTTAGGAACATTCCTTTCTAAGGAATTGTGGGGGCCTGAAAGCATAGTGGAAAGTAGGTGGCCCCCAGAGCCCTTATTGTTTCAGGCATGTTGGGCAGGGAACCCCTGCAAAATGAGGAGAAAGGTGGGGTATCAAGAAGACCAGGGAGAGGCAGTGTCTAGAAAACCACATTTTCCACACCAGAGAATACCCGTGTATTTGGGTCTGGGGCTAGGGGCAGAGAAGTGATGCTAGGAAATCTGCAAGGTGCTTAAAGAGAAAGCAAATTTTGAAGGTCAGGTAAAGGTTTAGCCCTGATCCTGTAGGCAATGCAGAGGAATTTGGTTAGAAGAGGAGAGATGCAC